CCCCCAATCTCCCACCCCCTGCTTCCACCTGCCCCCCCAATCTTCCCAGCCTGCCCCAATTCCCCTGTCCAGTGCTGCTTCCGGTGGCCGGCTCTCCCCTCCTCCTCCTCCCCCGACTTCCCCTAGCTATGCCTCTGCCGGGAGCCAGAACATCGGGCTGCAGGTTATGCCCAGGACGGCCAAGGGCTTGGCGGACCCGGTGCCACACGGGTTCTCCCGGAGACTGGAACACCCCAGGAGCTGGCAACCACACTGAGGCCTGGTATTTTTTTCCTGCGGCCCGGTATGCGCCGCAGCCCATAGTTTGGGAAACGCTGAACCAAGGAATCAAGCATGGTTGTCTGAACTGAGCAAAAGAGATAGTGTGCAAACACCTCAGCAGTAATTTGCTGCACAAAATGATTGATTGCTCTGCGCCAAAGTGATTAGTAAGAGGAGCTTTTACAACATGCTCCAAACCAGGAACATGGTGTCACCTAGCCCTGGTCTACAAAATGCACAGACAGATTCTGTCCAAAAAATGCGCCGACAGATTCTGATCTGAACAGCAAGAGTTGTCGCCAAATTCCAGTTTGACCAGCTAGGAATAATCAGGTAGGAGTACTTAGCCAATCCAGTTTGCATAAAGGCAGATAACAAGCTTATGGAGGACAGAAGTCCGTCAGGAAACAGTAGGTTAAAAAACAGCAGCTCTTCCAAGAGCCATAAGCTGGAAAACACTTGATCAGAATGCACACTTTTCAGACATCATCAGATATTTTAAATACTGGAAAAGAATGGAAGCAAATACCAAATGCTAACTGTTGGTGGCAAGAAGCTGTCACTGTGCTGACTAACTCAGTGAGTCTCTAGCCCCCTTCATCTAAAGACCGGAACAGCAAAGCAGGGCACAGCCAATGGGAACTATTTTTAAAATAGTTAATGTGCTTCTGAATGCTGTCCCAAAGGCCTGAGGGAAGTCCAGACCATTAGTCATCAGGAGAGGATCCAGACCCATTAGCCAGTGTCACAACACTGAGCATACAAGATTGTTGGCAATCAAAAAAGAGTTTTGGAAGGCATCTGTGCCATTTCTGAAGGTGGTCTTCCACCTTCTCCTCTTACCATATATTGTTCAGATCTGAAAAAGACCCCGCATAACACCTTAGTTGCAAAGGTGCGCTTGGGCAATTGTTGGGGCAACAAAAAGGGAACACTACACTGCCAAGAGTCCAGAGTGCAACAGCTTCAGCAGGTAGAGGTTGAGGTTGAGAAAAGCCTCTAGTCCAATAGTTATAGCATCCCAGTGGTGGCAGATTTGCAGGCAACTCCTTTCTCCCCCTCAGACAAGGTGGGAATTGAAGTGGTGGGTCTCCAACATTCCAGATGAGTACCCGGAGCATTGTGCTAAATGTTGTGAGAGAGGAAGTCCATGTCCTCCTCAGCCTCATGCAAAAATGGTATAGGGACCTAACACTAGGAGAAACTTTACAGTCAAGTGTCGCAAGCAGAAACAGGTGCCTCTCTGCAGTTTGGCTCCTATCTCTGGCCTATTTACTGTACAGGACCTCTGGTGCTTAACTGGCTTTGTGAATCCCAGTGATTTTTCTACGCACCCAGCAGTTAGGCACCGTGATGTTTAGCATCACAATGTCTAACACCTTTTTTTGCATCCAGACCTGGGTTGCTTCTGCACAACAAGACAAATTCCATATTTTGGTCCCATCTCTTTCAGAGACTGGAAATGCTAGATTGTGGCTTTGATTTAGGAAGGCACTTAAATGTATGTCTATGTGTTAAATGTCTGAATAGCCCAAGTTAGTTCAACGCTTAAAAGTTAGACTTGAAAGTTAGACCCATGCTTAAAGTTAGACTTGTACTAAAGTTACTTCCTGAATCATTTTAGAGTTTATAAAAATAAAGTTAAAGAAAAAAAGAGACTATCTTTTTTACTTGAATAACTTGAATAGACCCACCGATCTATGACATAAGGTGAGAAAGATTTGGGTCTTAATTCATGAATGTGCTATGTGGAATTTTTTTTGCTCATTTCATTTTTGCGTGTTTCATTTTGTTCATTTGGTTTTTATTTAAATTTCTCTATGGAAGGCTGTAGGCCAAGTTCCTTCTGGGACCGTGAGAACAATTGTATACTCAAAGCAATAATGAATGATTGTTATCTCTCACATCCCTTCTCCCTCTGGTTTTCTGAAATAAAAAATGAAGGATGATTAGTCAAACAATGATTTTTAGGACACAGTGGAACATCAGTATAATGTGTTTAAAACTGAGGCAAACATTTCAACCAACCCTCAGGTGATATTAAAAATTGTGCCACATGGGCCTCATACCAAGTCTTTGCTTTATCCTATAGCTCACGTAAGGTTTTGCAAAATGCACATACAATAAACATTACATTAAAACTGTGTTAATGTGGGAGTATATGTGAACAATGTGGGTGCTTCAATTTGGCTTCAGTTCCCTACCTCAAAGATATAGCTCATGAATACACCTGTGAAACAAGTAAATAATTTTAGATAATACTGTCTGTAGCAAATGCCATAGGAAATGAGTAGAAGGGCAGTTACTTTTGAAAAGTGAGACTCAAGAATGGATGCAAACCAATTTTTGCGTTGTGTATAATTCTACTTCACTGGATATATTACTGGTTTTGTAGGAAAGCTAGGAGTTATTTCTTGTATTATCGTAATTTATTTATTTTTAACTAAAAATCTTAGCTCTAATTCTTCGCACCCCCTACCAACGCACACACAGTTCTGTAAATACAGCATACTGTTTGTTTATCTTTATTGCTGTATCAAGTTTACTTACACTTTCAAAATTAAAGGGCAAAAAACTAAATCTATGGAACAGAGTTATAGCAACTGTGTGGTATCTAACTGATTCAGCAGTTCAAAACTCAGCAGTGTTGGAAAAGGATCATAAGGTAATAACTACAGCTGATATTACCTCTGGAAAAAGACGCTTCCCTGTAGTCTAATAAATATTGTATGAACTAACAAGAAGCAATATGCTAATGTTGTGATATTTACCCAGTAAGCTGGAGCATCAATTGATGTCTTGCCTCTTTGAGACCTGTTGATATGAGAACCATTTTAAACATTTAAATATTTTCTTTTGTTTCTATTTTTCCAGTTGTTGTTACCCTGTGAACAAAAATGGTGAGTGAAAGTCGTCACGAGGCGCTGGCCGCACCACCAGCCACCACCATTGCAGCTTCTCCGCCAATTAATGCCACAGAACCTGCCAGTCCAGGAGCAGGAGGTGGAAAAGAAGATGCATTTTCAAAGTTAAAGGAGAAGTTTATGAATGAACTGAATAAAATTCCATGTAAGTAAAATATAGATGGATAGATACTCTACTGGTAAAAAACTACTGCTAAATATTTTAGATTTTTTTTTAGAAAATATTTCTACAGTTTGACTTTAAAGTATTAAAACCATATTTGTTCACCTTTTGACAACTCAGGTTGATGGACCAGGAATGCTGATGCTTGATTTTCAGTTTCCAAAACATTAACTTTATAGTCATATAATTTCCAAAATATTATTATATGACTAACTCTTTTTACTACATATAATTAAATATTAATAATAATAAATAGTAATAATATTTAGGTTCTGAAAGCTGAGAATAAAATGCAATTAATAGAATTTTATTAGAACCATTTCTGTGGTAATATTATATAAAATAATTATAAAATTCCTTTTTATTTTAAACATTTCATATAAATTGGTTATTTTGATACCTTACTGAACTCCAAAATGAGAAGGGTTTTTTTAATTGCAGTTATCATCATAACAATGTCCATGCTCTTTAAAAATAGCAAGTAAACACTACAAACAAATTAAAATATATTTGAAAAGCATTACATTTAACAGACTATGGGTTTTTTTAATTTTAGCGGTTTTATCCTGTGGAAAGGTATAATATAGTGTGACCAATAATGACAAGTAACAAATCCGAATATTAATCGATTTTTGTCTCTTAAATGGACTTTGGCAATCTGGCAGAGACAATTTTTGCTAAATTGATAGCAAACAGCTTTAGTCTGTCACTCCAAATTCCCAGTTGCAAGAATAGAGGTGTTACAATGGCAAGAAGACTGCATGTCATTAGTCTGGTAATCTGCACAGTCCAGCACGGACCACATTGAGGCAGAATTGCCTGATACTATCTTTAGGAAAACAAAACTACAAGGAACAACAAGAAAAAGAACAAACATTTAGGAAAATGGTAACATTGTTTCATTTATACTGCATGGTGTTATCTAAATGAGGCAGACTGGAATTTTGTATAGGCTCTACCTTTATTTTTCAGCTTTGATGTTAATATGACTAAGGGCATGAATCGTTTGTACTATCCGAAATTCTGTACTTGGCAGGACTGGGAATAGAGTCTCTAGGCAGCAATTTACTTGAAAAGCAAGTATCTTTCCATTTTAAAGTAACAATGAAAACAAATGGAAAGCCTAATATCGAGAGTCTGCCTTTTATTTGAATAAAAAGCTCCCATGGTGCACAGCATTATGGATGAAGGAGGCTTGCCCACTGTTCATCTCTAAAATTACTTGCTGGGAAAAATTAAAAATCCTACATGTTTCATGTGATATTTCATAATATACTGAAAGTGATAGGTGTCTCTACTTTGACCGTTTCAACATGCCTCGTTCTTGCTACCTGCATTAACTCTTAGAGAAATAGTGTTATGTAATGCAGTTTAATAATGGATGAAAAAGGGCTGTACTGGATGCAGAATACCAGTATGTCTGCCAAGCGTTAAAAGAATTCAGATTTGTCTATATTCCTGCATGCTGCTGGAAGTGGATCAGATCACCCATTTGGTCATTTTCATCTGTATTACATATTCTTTAGATTATTCCCCTCGCTGAAAAAATCTGTGCATGGGGATAGAAAACACCACCACGTTCCTTCACAAAGTTTCCATCAGATCATTCTTTTGAAATAGAAACCACTGGCCCTTAAAAAGTCAGGATCTTCACTGAAACACCACACTGCCTCCTGGCACTCTACTGCTCTCTTGTTCTCCATCAGCAGAACTTCGGTGAACTCTGTCGAGCTCCGAAGAGATGCTTGTTGCCCCTTTCCTGAAGGAGGGTTGCATAGTGCAGAGGGGCTCCTCAAGAAACTGAATGCAGCTAAGCCAGGGGTGGGCAATAATTTTTGATGGGGGGCCACTCCAAGTATTTGGAAAGTGTCCAAGGGACACATTCTTCCATAATAATGGAGGAAGTGTGGGATATGGGATGGAGGCTGGGTGCAGAAGGGAGCTTGGGGTAAGGGATTGGTGCGCAGGAGGGGCTGTGTGGTCCGGGAGGGAGTTTGGGTGAAGGAGGAAGTTGTGACCTATGTTAGGGGACTATGGTTCGGGGGGTTGGGTTTGGGTTGTGGCCTGGGGAAGGGGACAAGAGTGCAAGAGAGGGTGCAGGGGTTTGGGTTGTGACCTCAAGCAGGGGATTGGAGTGCAGGTTCTGGGAGGGATATGGGGGCAGGAGGAGAGGCAGAAAATTTGGTTTGTGACCTATGAGAGGAGGGGGCAATGACCTGGGGCAGAGGATTCGGGTGTAGGAGGGGTTAGATGTTTTGGGTTATGTGGGGTAGGTGGACAAAGGGTTGGGGTACTAGAGGCATGTTTTAACTACGTCTCGACTACACGGCTCCGTCAACGGAGTTTATTCGGCATAGGCAAAGAAGCAAGGATTTAAATAATCCCTGCTTCATTAAAATAAACATGGCCACCGTGCTGTGCTGACGTTCAGCTGATCCAGCACAACAGGGAAGTCTAGACGTGCCACGGTCAACAAGGGAAGCCTTTGTCGATCGCTCCGGTAAAGCTTGTTTGAAATACGCTATTTCAAAATTCAATCAAAATAAGATGCAATTTGCATAGGGCAAATTGCGAATCTTATTTTGAGTGTAGGGTGCTGTGTAGATGCACCCCAGGGCCCTGGAGCAGGATTTTTAAATTAGGCAAGGGAACATGTGTGTTTTCAGCAAGCCTGCTCTGACCACACCCAAGAGCTGTCAGAGCCTGCAGCATGAGGGCTAGATGCAGGTCACCAGCAGTGGGGGGTATATCACCCAAACAAAAGAGGACTGGGGATACAGAGCAACATAAGGTGACCACAGGTGAGCTATTAAATGGGAGCAGGAGACACAGAATGGGTCATGATTTTGGCTGCTAAGTTGTGGGGCTGTACCCATATAACTATATTGGTAAACATTGCTCTCATACCCAATATAGTTATGCTGGTATAAAACAGGGTGGCTACGTCTAGACTGGCATGATTTTCCGGAAATGCTTTTAAAGGAAACGTTTTCCGTTAAAAGCATTTTCGGAAAAGAGCGTTTAGATTGGCACGGATGCTTTTCCGCAAAAGCACTTTTTGCGGAAAAGCATCCGTGGCCAATCTAGACACGCTTTTGCGCAAAAAATGCCCTGATCGCCATTTTCATGATCGGGGCTTTTTTGTGCAAAACAAATCTCAGCTGTCTACACTGGCCCTTTTGTGCAAAAGTTTTGCGCAAAAGGGACATTTGCCCGAATGGGAGCAGCATAGTATTTCCGCAAAAAGCACTGATTTCTTTACAATAGGAAGTCAGTGCTTTTGCGGAAATTCAGCTGGCAAGTTTTTCCGGAAAAGCGTCTGATTTTCTGGAAAAACTGGCCAGTCTAGACACAGCCGGTATGTAGATTGAACTGTTTACAGTCACAGCTCTTTACCTCTGCACACAAGTCCTGAAATATCAAATCATGGATATTTTGGAAAAAGCCATTAAATGTGTGGCTTGCATTATGACAGCCACAAAAATACATCCTCACTTTACTGACCAGTGTTCAGAGTTAACACCTGAAAAATACTTTTCCTTCCATTATTTCTCAGTAAAACTGCCCAATTTATTTGAATGTGGATTAAAAGGGAATCCAAATTCTTTAAAAATTGTGTATTTTTGGAACATTGTCACAGGCTGAATGTAATGTGAAGACATAAATAAGAATAAAGACAGCAGACAGGTTTTAAAAGCAGAAATTTAAATCTCAACTGGTTCTTAAAGAGCCAGCCAAGAGTCCAGTCCAAATGTTAAATTTCACTTTACTTTTTAGAAAACTCCAGTGGAGGGGAGGGTGTTGGGTTTAAATGGTGTTCATCATTGTTAATGTGCTTTACAACACAAAAAATTTATTCTTACCAAAGGCCAAGGAGATTCCCACAATGAGAGAATAAAATTACTGCCAAGGAGAAGAGAGGGAGCCAATTATACTATTGCTGCTTTAAGCTTAGTTAATACAAAATGCAATAGGGGCTCATTCTGGCTTTTTGCTGATATCTGTTCCCCTAAAAAAGAACAGTGTGCTGCCCCCCATGTTGTGTATGAAGCATCTGAGGACATGCAAAATGTTCAGGAAGATGTCTCATCGTTCATTCTACTCTGGATAAAATGATTGGAGTCATTTTATTACAGTGACTCATACAATTAAAGTGCAGAGATGCTATAAGGTTACTGAGGCACAACTGTAGAGATTTTTTTTCTCAGTAATGCAAATCCCTGCACTCTGGTTGTGAGTGCCTGATTTGCATAATCACAAAACAGTTGTGTCTGAATAACTGTACAGTATGTAAATCTCTCTATGCTGACTGGCCGCTATAATCCTTCTGCTTTGTATTGTCTCCTGTATGCAGAAATTTCAGGCTATTTACAAGCAACAAAGACTGCATCTCAGCTTTTTACTTCCTTCATTTTAAACAGAAAAATCCCAGCATTTAAATGAAAGAGAAAGAAGAACAAACCAAAAGGAAAGAAAATGGCCCTGTAAAACTGCTGAAAGGGAAATTGCTTTGAAAGGTTTTCAGACCTCTTTTTAGCAGTATCATTCCTTTTTCTCTTCACTTTCCCTCTTGTTTCTTTTCTATAGGCCAGCAAAGCTTTTTCTTCTTATAGCAATTGTTGTGTATTAGTATTCACTTTCTTTACATTAGAGAATCCCAGTCCCTCCTCCTAAATTCTGTATTGAACACTATGTAAATAGAAGTGTGTTGCAGAGGTTCTGGGACAACAGCCTTATAGAACTGAAGGAAGGAGAGATCAGGGAGGGAGAAGGAGAGAGGAAGAGGACTAAGTCATGGAATAGGAAGGGGGATAAACCTTTTTTTAAAATATTCTTTAAACTACTTGACAGTCTCCTGGGGATTTTTACTGAGGTATTTCCCCCTTAACTGGACATTTGAATGTTTAGTTTAAAATTTTGATTATCATAATGATAATTATATAATAATAAGCAGTTATTTACATTTATACTATACTATATAA